AAACAAAAACGAAAAAGAAATAAAAAAAAAAAAAGGGTGGAAGGGACAAGGGGAAGGGGAAGGGGAAGGGGAGGGAAGGGAAGGGAAGGGAAACTTTGGGCTAATATCCCTGATGAAAACTGATGCAAAAATCCACAATTAAATACTGACAAACTGAATCCAGCAGCACATCAACAAGCTTATCCACCACAATCAAGTCAGTTTTATCCCTGGGAACCAAGGCTGATTCAACATACACAAACAAATAAATGCATTTCATTACATAAACAGAACTAATAGATGCAGAAAAGGGCTTTGATAAAATTCAACATCCCTTCATGTTGAAAACTCTCAGTGAACTAGAAATTGATGAAACATACCTCAAAATAATAACAGCCATTTATGACACACCTACAGCCAATATCATACTGAATGGATAAAAGCTGGAAGCATTCCCCTTGAAAACTGGCACAAGACAAAAATGCCCTCTCTCAACACTCCTATTCAATATAGTGTTGGAAGTTCTGGCCAGAGCAATCAAGCAAAAGAAAGAAATAAAGCATATTCAGCTAGAAAGAGAGGAAGTCAAACTGTCTTTGTTTGAAGATGACAGGATCCTATATCTAGAAAACCCCACTATCACAGCTCAAAAACTTCTTAAACCGATGAGCAACTTCAGCAAAGTCTCAGGACACAAAATCAATGTGTGAAAATCACAGGCATTTCTACACACCAACAATAGAAAAGCAGAGAGTCAAATCATGAATGAACTCCCATTTACAATCGCTACAAAGAGAATAAAATACCTAGAAAGACAGCTTATAAGGAAAGTGAATGACATCTTCAAGGAGAACTCAATATGACTGCTCAAGGAAATCAGAAGACACACAAAAAAATAAAAAACTATTCCATGCTAATGGATAGGAAGACTCAATATTGTGAAAATGGCCATACTGCCCAAAGAAATGTAAAGATTCAATGTTGTTCCCATTAAACTACCATTGATATTCTTCACAGAATTAGAAAAAAACTACTTCAAAATTCATATGAAACAAACAAAAAAAAGCCCATATAGCCAAGACAATCCAAAGGAAAAAGAAGAAAGCTGGAGGCATCATGCTACCCAACTTCAAACTATACTACAAGGCTACAGTAACCAAAACAGCATGGTAGTAGTACTAAAACAGACACACAGACCAATGAAACAGAATAGAGAACTCAGAAACAAGACCACACACCTGCAAAACAGTCTGATTTTTGACAAACCTGACAAAAACAAGCAATGGGGAAAGGATTCTCTATTTAATAAATGTTTCTGGTATAACTGGATATCCATATGCAGGAAATTGGAACTGGACCCCTTCTTTACACCTTATACAAAAATAAACTCAAGTTGGGTTAAAGACTTAAATGTAAAATCCAAAAGTACAGAAACCCAAGAAGAAAATCTAGGCAATATCATTCAGGACATAGGCACAGGCAAAGATTTCATGACCAAAACCTCAAAAGTAATTGCAACAAAAGCAAAAATTGACAACTGGGATCTAATTAAGCTAAAGAGCTTCTGCACAGCAAAAGAAAGTATCATCAGAGTGAACAGACAACCTACAGAATGGGAGAAAAATTTTGCAATCTATTCATCTGACAAGGGGCTAATTTCCAGAATCTACAAGGAGCTTAAACAAATTTACAAGAAAAAGACAACTCCATTAAAAAATGAGCAAGGGACATGAACAGACAATGCAGCCAACAAACATGAAAAAATCACAACACTGCTGATCATTATCAAAAGCACAGTGAAATACCATCTCAGGCCAGTCAGAATGGTGATTATTAAAATATCAAGAGACAACAGATGTTGGCAATGCTGTGGAGAAATAGAAACACTTCTACACTGTTGGTGGGAATGTAAATTAGTTCAATCATTGTGAAAGACAGTGTGGCAATTCCTCAAAGATTTAGAACCAGAAATACAATTTGAACCAGCAATCCCATTACTTGATATATATATATACAAGGGAATAGAAATCATTCTATGATAAAGATACGTGGATGCATTTTTTCACTGAAGCACTATGCACAATAGCAAAGACATGGAATCAACCCAAATCCCCATCTATGACAGACTGGATAAAAAAATGTGGTACATATACACCATGAAATACTATGCAACCATAAAAAGGAATGAGATCATGTCCTTTGCAAGGATATGGATGGAGCTGGAAGCCATTATCCACAGCAAACTAATGTAGGAACTGAAAACCAAACACAGCATGTTCTCACCTAGAAGTGGGAGTTGAACATTAGGAAAAATAGCTAATGCATGCTGGGCTTAATACCTAGGTGACAGGTTGACCAGTGCAGCAAACCACCATGGCCCATGTTTCCTATGTAACAAACCTGCACATGTATGCCAGAACTAAAAATAAAATTAAAAAAAAAAAAAAAGAATATAGGAATTCCTCAGAGACACTGCAGGTTTGGTATCAGACCACCATAATAAAGCAACTATCATAATAAAAAATAATAAGTGGGAGCTGAACAAGGAAAACACATGGACACAGGGAGAGGTACAACACTCACTGAGGCTTTTTGGTGGGGACTGTTGGGGAAAGAGAGCATCAGGATAAATAGCTAATGCATGCTGGGTTTAATACCTAGGTGATGGGTTGATTGGAGCAGCAAACCACCATGGCACACCTGTACGTATGTAACAAACCTGCACATGTATCCTGGAACTTAAATTAAATTAAAAAAAGACATTCAAACAATAAATTGAGATGTTTCAGTTTTGTTTCAAGTGGCATTCCATAGGAAAAAAGCATTAGAAATAAAAGAAAAGTAATATAAAAATCAATGAGAATTATTGAATTATTGAAAGTAATTGAAATTCAATTGATAATTGAAAGTACAAAATAATTAATGAAAGCTTCAGTTTTTCAAAGTGGAATGGTATCTTCTATCATAAGCTAATTGAAGTAAAACTAGCATAGTGATATTGTGGAGTAATTGTGGAACATCAAATATTGTCACTGTCATAACAGGAGAAAATATATAGATTAAGTGTAATGACCATCATGCTATAAACAAATATCTTATTACAGTATTACAGACAATTCACAAAAAGTGTAATATTTGTACATTTTATAACATGCCTAAGTCTGTAAATGAGCCTAAAAATAAATTTTAAAAAATTAAAACCTATGTTGTCAGAAAAATAAAAGAACAATGCTAAATTCAGAGTTTTAAAAAATGCCAAGATGGATGTTTTAAGTTGAATAATTAAAGCATATGAATGCTATGATCATTAATTTAGAAAGATACAATTACAAAATAGATGTACATACTTATTTTAAAATATTTAAGCATATATATTAAAAATTCAAGAGTGACCAACCAGGCGCAGTGGCTCACCCCTGTACTCCCAGTGCTTTGGGAGGCTGAGGCAGACGTATCATGAGGTCAGGAGTTCAAGACCAGCCTGGTCAACGTGGTGAAACCCCATCTCTACTAAAAATACAAAAATTAGCTGGGTATGGTGGCAGGCACCTGTAGTTCCAGCTGCTTGGGAGGTTGAAGCAGGAGAATCGCTTAAGGCCGGGAGGCGGAGGTTCTAATGAGCGGAGATCACGCCATTGTACTCCAGCCTGGGCGACAGAGGAAGACCCCATCTCAAAAAAAAGAAAAAAAAAATTCAAGAGTGACCATAAAAATTGTAAAATACAATTGTTCACTTCCAGAAATACCAAGGTGAATAAAGTTTCTATGAAGAAAATTTCTGTCAATCCAACAGAAGGCAGAAAAATGCAAAAATCCATAAATTTAAAATATCAATCTGACTTTAGAAATAATTCTTAATAGCTCATTACCTAAAATATGAGTAAATATTAAAATACATCATATAGCAGAAATAAAAAGTGTATTTGAAAACTAATATTTATCAAAATCAAAACACACGCAGACACAGAGGCACACTCATGTGCATACATATTTACAGACAGTATTAGATCACAGAGGAAGTCTCAAAAATTTTAGATAATAGGAATTACATAGAACAGGTTATTTTTATTACAGTGGTATCAAATTTGAGTCATTAATATGAAAGTATCAAAAATCAATAAATGAAGTTTATCAGGCTTAAATTTTACTCTTAATTAACTCAGGATGTGAAAAAGAAAACACAATTGGAAACATAAAATGTTCAGAACTACTTAATTAAATCTATAGGGTGCATATATATTGCATTAAAAATAAAATAAGTAAGATATCTAAGAAAATAAATAGTTACACGTTTAAATTCAGTGGCCCTAATATCGACAAGATATACCTATTATTTATAGAACAAAATAAATAATAAAAATATAAATGAGAATTAATAAAACCAGAAACGAATGAAATAAGGAGAATTTTAACTCAAATTGGGTGCATTAGAAAAAAATTTACAAAACTTATGAAATATACAAACCTGCAGCAAAATAAACCACAAAACCCAGAGAAAATATATGACAATAGATAATTAATGAAAATAGTTTAAAAGTTGATAAAACTACAGATAAAAGCATTAATATAGAAAGTCTTAAAGTACTACAAGCAAATAAATGAAACAAATGTTAAAATGTAGTAAACATAGTTTTTTTTAAAAAAAACTAACAAAATTATAGGAAAGTTAGAAAAAGTAAAATTAAAATATATAGAATAAGTAAGATGATGATAATAATAATAATTAAGGACATTATTTTAATGAAATGCCACAAACATTTACATACAGGCAGAAAACATTTTAAGGAAAATATTATAATGTCATTAATAAGGAGATAATGCTTACTCTTTTTGATACTTTTGAAGCAATTGTAAAGGATGAGCGCTGATTTAAATCAAAACATTCTAGGAAACTGGTCTAAACTTGTCACAAAATAAGACGACAACAGCAAGAATGGAAGTCAGAAAGACGGCAGAAGCAGCACCAGGCCACTGCCCACATCTTTAAGACTGACTTAACAACAATATATGGATCAACTTACCTTTCTGAGAATTCCAGAAGCCAGTGAAAAAATTGTAGCACATAAATGAGGTCAAAGGCAAGAAGACTCACACCAAAGCAAGGATTTACTTATTCCAGATCCAAGCCCTATCTGCCATTTTACTCCAAAATTTAAAGAACTACCAGCAACCAGCTCTTCCCTCAATTGGAAAGAGAAGAATGGGCTATGTGTTCTGGCTTTTTGGGAACAAACATGCTATAGGGAGTAGTTTCTGTCTAGCCTGACTCAGAACACTGATTGGAAAGGCAGCATAGGATAGATGCCAGCTGCAAAGAAAAAATTACTGTGTGAATTTCAGCCCAAGCGAGACTGAAGTAGTACATACAAATACAATGAAAAGTCAGAGAGTACAGACTACTGAGAAGAAAACAGTCAAGCCTCTGTCACAAGAAAATTACACATGCAAGCCCGGAGATGACGCATCTCCAGGGAAGGGCTGAGAAGCTCTAGCTAGGCTGATTGGTGGAAGTGCTCTCCCATACAAATGCAGTTCAGAAGACTGGAGAAAGGTTTTTTTCATATAGTCAAATACCAGGAAAAGATTACATGGTATACAGAAAGAGAGAAAGAAAGAAAGAAAGAGAAAGAAAGAAAGAAAGAAAGAAGAAAGAAAGAAAGAAAGAAAGAGGAAGGAAGGAAGGAAGGAAGGAAGGAAGGAAGGAGAGAAAGAATATGACTTAATCAAAGGGTGTTAACAGTGAGTTTCCAAAAATTGACCTTAAAGAAATGAACTATGATTACCTAACAAAAACTCAAACTAAGAAATCATTTTTTATAGTACAAGAATACTATATCCACAAAAAGTGTCCTTCAAAAATGAAGAAAAGTTTAAGACTTTCACAGATAAATAAAGGCTGAGGCATTTCACCACCTAGATCTGCCCAACAAGAAATTCTAAGAGAGTTCTTTGAGTTGAAGTGAAAGGAAGCTAGACAGCAACTCAAACCATATGAAAAATATAAAACTCCTTTCTAAAGGTAAAAACATGGACAAATAAAGAATCTGGTAGTATCATAATACTGGTGCATAGATCACTTTTAATTCTGTATAGAATTTAAAGCATAACATAATTATAAATCTGTGTTAATGAATTAATATTAAAAGATTTAATTGGGGATATTAATAACATAAATGGGGTGTGTAGAGACGTAAATTAGAGTTTTAATATGCTATTAAACATGTTATCAGTTAAAAATAAATTTTGCATAACCTTATATTGTTTATATAATCCCTATGGTAACCACAAATAAAATTCCTATGGAAGATACATAAAAGACAGTTCACTCACAAAAAATCCAAACAGTTCACTCATGAAAAATCAATGAAACATAAAGAAAGGCAGTGAGACCGTGAAAAAAGGACAACATAACTATGAGACACACAAAACAATTAATAAAATGCCAAAAAAAATTTTTAAAAGAACCTATCATGTAAAAAAACAAATAGCATTCCTACATTATTTTCTAACTATTGCTCCATTGTTCCATTTCATTCTTGCCTTTACAGGAGTTTTTTCAAAAAGGTTTTCTCTAGTCACTTTCTCTACTTGTTTACCTTCCTAAATTCATCTCAACTTTTAACTAAAGCCACACAAATATTTATGAAGTATGCACAAAGTATAGGGACTGAAGAAACCATCTACCCACTATTACCATTGATTCTGAACATTCCCATTAACGTTAAAATTCCCCTTATGCCACTCCTAGATCCAGTTCACTTCTTTCTCCTTTAGAGATAATCACCATCCTGAATTTCTTTACAGTTTCCCATATGTTTATATTCCAAATAAGCATATCTCAATATATGTTTCATTTTAAATGAGTGAAGTTGTATGGTATTTGTTAGTGACTTGCTTACCTTGCTCAACATTATGTTTCTGAGATTCATCCATATATAAATACTATGTAGCTGAACTTCATTCATTTTCACTGCTGTATTTCGCTGTATGGGTATATGGAAGATTTTCCATTTTATTGTTGATGAGCATTTGGGTTGTATCTAAATTTTTGCTACCCTAAACTGCACAGCTATGTGCATTCTTTTTCTTGTCTCCTTCTGTCAAACTATAGTGAAGGACCAAGCTTTTGAGATTTTCCCTAATATTTTGTGGATTGATACTTTTGTGAAATACACTAAAAATGCCTCATCAGTGTCAAATTGTTATAAAATTATATAAACCTTTACTCCGAAAAAAATGTCAACAGCAAGTCATTCACTATCAGCAATTACTTTAAAAGTAAATGGATTAAGCATTCTAATGAAGAAACAGGTTAGCTGAATTGATGAAAACAAAAGAAAATATAACTGTGTGCTCTCTGAAAAAGACTGAGTTTTGATTTAACAATGCATATAGGGTGAAAGTGAAAAAATATAAAAAACTGTCCATGCAAATGGTAACCAAAAGAAAGCATAGGTGACTATACTAATATCAAAGAATATTGACTTTGAGCCAAAACTGTCATGAGAGAGAGAAAAAAGACATATAATAATAAAAAGATCAGTTTGATGGGAAGATTGATATACTTTACATATTTGTTCCCACCTAAATCTCTTGTTGAAATGTAATCCCCAATGTTGGAGGTGGAGCCTGGATTCACCTTTGGATCATGCAAATTGATTCCTCATGGGTGGCTTGGGCCATCATCTTGGTTATAAGCGAGCTCTCACTCTGAGTTCACATGAGATCTGTGAAGTATGTGGCACCTCTCATTCCACTCTCTGTCTCTCATTCCTGCTTTCAACATGTGACATACGAGCTCCTGCTTCACATTCCACCATGAGTAAGAGCTTCCTGAGGTGTCCTCAGAAGCCTAGGAATGTTAGTACTATGCTTCCTATACCGCCTTCAGAACCACGACCTAATTAAACCTTTTCTCTTTATAAATTATCCAGTCTCAGGTATTTCATTACAGCAATGCAAGAATGGCCTAACACAGAAAATTGGTACCAAGAGTGGGGTATTGTTATAAAGATACCTGACAGTTTAAAAGCAGCATTGGAACTGGGTAGAGATTGGAAGAATTTGGAGGGCTCAGAAGAAGACAGGAAGAGGTGAGAAACTTTGGAACTTCTCAGAGACTGGCTGTATGGGTTGTGACCAAAATGCTGATAAGGACATGAAATGAAGTCCAGGCTGCTGAGGTCCCAGGTGGAAATGGGGAACTTATTGGGAACTGGAACAAAGCTCATGTATGTTATGCCTTCGCAAAGAGCTTGGCTTCATTCTGTTCATGCCCTAGATACCTGTGGAAGTTGGAACTTAAGAGTGATGGTTTAGGGTATGTGGCAGAAGAAACGTCTAAACAGCAAAATTCAAGATGTAGCCTGGCTGCTTCTTACAACTGTGCTAAGATGTGGAAGCAACAAAATGACTTAATAGTGGAAGTTAATTTAAAAGGGTAGAACAGAAACCTTTGAAAAATTTGCAGCCTGGCCATGTGGCAGAGAAAGAAAACACATTTTCAGGAGAGGGTATGGACGAATCACTTATTAGAGAAATGTGCATGATTAAAAAGGAAGTAAGTGCTGATTGCCAAAGCAATGGGAAAAAGTCCTCAAAGGTGTTTCAGAGACCTTCATGGCAGTTTGTATCATCACTGACTTAGAGGTATAGGAGGGAAGATTGATTTCCTGAGCCAGGACCAGCCCAGAGCCCTACTGACCTGCCTAGTGTCAGAACACTGCTCCCCGTATCCTAGCCACTAAGGCTCCAGCCTTGGCTCTACAGGCCCCATATAACACTTATGCGGCTGCTCCAGAGAACACAAGCTACCATGAGCCCTGGTATTTTCCACATGATGTTAAGCCTGTGGACACACAGATTGCAAGAGTAAATGAGGCTTGGCATCGTCCACCTATATTTCATAGGATGTGTGGAAAAGCCCAGCAGAAGCCTGAATGGTAGAACCCTCACAGAGAACTTCTACCAGGGCAATGTCAAGGGGAAATGTGAGGTTGGAGCACCCACACAGAGTCCCCAGTGGGGCACTGCATAGTGGAGCTCTGCAAAGGAGGCCACAATTCTCCAGACAGCAGAATGATAGATCCACTGGCAGCCTGCACGCTGTGCCTGGAAAAGCTGCAGGCACTCAATGCCAACCCATGAGAGCAGCCTTGGGGTCTGAATCTTGCAAAGTCATAGAAGCACAGCTGTCCAAGGCCTGAGGTGTCTACCCCTCACAGCAGTGTGCCCTGGATGTAAGGCACAGAGTCAAAGGAAATTATTTTGGAACTTTCAGACTTAATGACTGCCCTGTTGGGTCTGAACCCTGCAAAGCCATAGAGGCACAGCTGCCTAAGGCCTGGGGAGTCTACCCCTCACAGCAGTGTTCTCTGGATGTAAGAGTTAGAGTCAAAGGAGATTATTTTGGAGCTTTAAGACTTAATGACTCCCTGTTGGGTTTCAAGACTTGATGACTGCCCTGTTGGGTTGTATGGAGCCTGTAGCCCCTTTCTTTTCATCAATTTTCTCCCATTTAGAATGGGAATGTTTACCCAATGCCTATACCTACATTGTATGTTGGAAGTAACTAACTTGTTTTGATTTTACAGGCTCAGAGGTGAAAGAGACTTGCCTTGTCTCAAATGAGACTTTGGGCTTTAGACTTTTGAGTTAATGCTGGAATAAGTTAAGACTTTGGGTGACTCTTAGGAAGGCATTATTATGCTTTGCAGTGAGAAGGGCATGTGATTTGGGAGAATCCAGGGGCAGAATTACATAGTATAGATATTTGTCCCTACACAAATTTCATGTTGAATTGTAATCCCCAGTGCTGGAGAAGAGGACTGGTGGGAGGTGTTTAGATCATAAGGGTGGAGCCCTCATTAATGGTTTGGGCCATCCCCTTGGTGACGAATGAGCTTTCACCCTGAATTCACACAAGATCTGGTCATTTAGTGTGTGGCACCAACCCTTCACTCTTTCCCTCATTAGCTCCTGCTTTCATTGTGTGAAGTACCTGCACCCACTTCACCTTACACCACAACTGAAAGCTCCCCAAGGCTTTACCAGAAGCGGAGCAGATACCAGCACCATGCTTTCTATAAAGCCTACAGAACCATGAACCAATTAAAACTCTTTCCTTTATAATTTACCCAGTCTCAGGTATTTCTTTATAGCAGTGCAAGGATGAAT